ATTGCTGGAAATTACCATATAGATTGAGAAAGCCAGGCCTGTGATTTCACAAGAGCTTCTGCCAGGCTCCTCCAAGCATCCCGAGACCCTCATCCAGTCTTGACCCCTGTCTGGAGCCGCTTTCCTTGGAGACCAACCCTGGCCTCTGCCTGATGAGAAGAGCTGCTGACATTTCCAATTTGAAAGCAAAGTCAGGCGAGACAGCAACCTACACCAGCCACATCCCATTCCCCTTCCCTGTGCTATTTCCCCCTTTCTCTGCTAAATCCATTCCTCCTGAACTTGAAAAAAATAAATAAATAAAAATCACATCGAGGGCAACAGCCATCCCCTGCCTCACACTGCTCACCCAGATACGCTCCTCCTGCAACCCAGCCGGGAAAGGAGCGATGGGCACAACCGCACCAACCACTCGCACACCGTTAATTCCTCGGAGTCTTTCCTGCCTACCCCAGGCCGACATAATAAAACATGTCTTGATTTTGTGATTGCACGGGGTCAGACAGCGCCCTTTTCCCAGCATCCTTTCTAACCTACATGGATACCAGCAGGGGGGCACAATTTCCAGCCTAGGTTTGAGACACGAAAACCCTGCTCCCTTTTTTCCTCTAGAGCCAGGCTGAGCTAACTAGCCCCGAACACAGAACCAGTGGCACAGGGTTCCAGAACCGGAGCCGCCTCCACTGCAAACCAGTTTGGGGTACGTGGTGCCACTGTCCTGTGTCTGCAAACCACGGCAAGTGCTGGCAGCGGGCACCCACACAGCCCCGGGGTGGGAGCAGAGCCCCCCCTTACCTCGCTGTGTCATTTACCTCCCAGCAGAGATGAACCACAGACCCCTTCTCTCCAAGGCAGGCTCTCCGGCAGCGGTTTTGGGCAGTCTACTGTGTCTCGTGGTAACTGCGCTAAGTGTCTTCGGGGTGCTCGTTGTTCATCATTGTGGCAGGAACTGCACGGAGGAAAAATAGAAAAGAGGAAAAACCCTGCAGAGCTCAAGGCCAACAGTACCGTGGGAGGATGGGACCACACGTGCTGGGGCTTCAAATGGGATTTTTATCTGCTGGGGAATGGCGGGGGATCTACAAGAGTGGGCAAAGCACAGCAGTGCCTGGTGAAGCACTTAGGCCTGCCCATAGCAGGGGCCAGGGGTGGCTCAGAGCTGGGACAGCCACCTCTGTCCCCAGCCGGGTGCCCTTCAGGTCCTCCCTCCCCAAACACACTCTTCCTCAGGCTGGGAGCCGAGCCTGGCCAGCCCCAAGAGCTCACCTCCAAGTCACAGCACAGGGTCCCATCAGCCCTGCCCCTCGTCTGAGCTCTCAGGACAGGC